TAGAAAGAGAGAGAGGTTTAAATCTCTAATTACAAGTACTTATCAAAAGCCCATAAGCAGATGGTGGGAATAAGTGACACATGACTATTTACACTGCATGAGATGTGTATTATGTGTCTGTGTATGATGTAGTCGTATAGTAGAGCAGAACTAAACCCTGAGAAAATACAGTGAAGCATGCAGGATATTGAGACAATATCATCTCACCTCTCATCTCATTTTTATCTTCTCATTTTCCACATTATGATCCTGAACAGGATGAAACAGAGAAACATGCTTTTTATAGTCATTTTATTTATACCTTACTTATTTTTTTTTATCAATATTTTAGTCTATTAGGTAGCCATTATGAGGATGTGCCATGTCAGTGAAAAAAAAGTTCCCATAGTGGTGGCTCTGTATGAATTGTTGCCTCAGTTTTTCATTTTTAGCAGAGGAGTTTAACCTAAGCATTAAGAGCCATTCCATATGGATAGTTACTGAAATCCATTTTAAACTCAGCGAGTCCCATGTGTAGATACCTATATGCAGTTTTTGTTGTGTTATGGGCTGATTTGTTGTTTCTGTTAATAAGCAGCTGAACAGATGTATCTAATAAAGTGGAATGTGAGTGTACTCGTCCATTGTCTTCTGTTTACTCCAGATTGACGGAAACCCTGACATCCCTCTCCCCAGTGACACATTTCTCATTCTTCCAAGGCCTTCTAAGAAACTATCGTCCCTCAAGCAGGTTCTTGTTTTTCTCCAGTGACTCCTCTTAGAGCCTGAAAAAGAGCCAAAGTGAAGCCCCAGAAGACCTTCTGATCAAATCTGAACCATCTCGCCAAGCTCCATTTGATGTGGGGAAATTATTGACTCTGAGGTCCCAACGGACACCGGAGTCCCTTTAAAATCCAGAAAACCAATAGCCAACTGTATCAAGGATATTGTTCTTTTACTAATAATCCATAGCTACTGAGCATTGGTTAGGTTCAGACAATAGATGGGGATGTAAATAGATGTTTAGCTCTTTCTTCAACAGAGGTAACTGGGATAGTGCCTAAATAAATCTCCTGCTCCATCCTACCATCAAGGTGGAGAAGAAAATTATTATTTGACCTTTATAGAGAGAGCTACATCAGTTACATAGTTGGAAACTAAACCCAGCATTTCACAGAAAAGTGGACACTATCAAATACTATTGAAATGTGTTTGTGTGTGAAGGCAAATGTGACTGTATATGTGAGTGACTTCAAAAGTAGGCATAAAGAAGAGGAGAGATTTGTAGCAAGGAGAGTTAGGGCAGAAATCTCTATCCACTCATCCATTTGATGTTTTCCCCTCTCTGATCTGCAGTATAAAAGCCTCATGTCTTTGAGAAAATTGTCAGATAAAGATGAACATGAACAAAGATAATGTTCTTTTCATTCTTTTCTGATGCGGATTGTCCCCCTGCTGGGATATTTTATACACAGAAGCACAACTTCATTAATTATTGATCATCTTATATTTAAGTAGATCTCGTGTTGTTCAGAGGGAACAACATAATAAAGCTGAATAATGGTAAAAAGGAATAAACTCAAGACATGTTTTTGAAATTGAAATTTGATTTGTTAGGTCACATTGAGTTGGTATAAAAACTGCAACAAAGCAAGCACAGAGCATGTAGCTTAGATTTTACAGTTACATGTGACAAAATCTCATTTAGAGATAAACAAAATCCTCGCTTAAACTGGAAATCCAGGCAGCTATTCAGTCAGTTCAGCAGCAGGGCTGTGGATCAGCCTGATAGCTCTGAGCTGATGGCAGTAGATCAAACTAATCCCAAAATACTACATAAGTATGTAAGTATGTACATGGAATAGCCATGCTTCATATTAAAGCACCCTGAGATTGTGTAAGCGCAGTACATTTTGGATGTTGAGGGCGGAAAAGGTGAATGCGAACATATGTATAGAGTGAGTTGCAGGATGTGAAGTTCTGCGCTGATTCATTGCAAAAAGCAGAGCAAGCTGGATGCTACAATCAGGATTCGGGATCACCTTTAGCCCTCCTCATCAGTCAGACCTGTCCTGAAGCTACCAAACTGTGAGAAAGGGAGGATGGAGGGCAATAACGCACAGATGGAGAAAAGGCCTGGTATGATCCAGCAAATAGAAGAACATGTGAAGAATGAGGAAGCAGATATTCCTCTTTTAGTAACCTATTTACAACGACAATCAGTTTAACGCAGTGCATTTAGTTTACATTTAAGCCCTCTGCAGAATGAATTAAGGTATAGCTGCTGAATTTGCTTTATCTGGAGTATTGGAAACAAGGGAAAATTAGAAGTATGCATGTAATTATTCGTGTGTGTTTGTTTGTCCTTGTTTTGCTATTTTTGTCCCCTTCGAGGTTTGTTTTATCTTCTTGCAGTCACTCATGTTCCGTATTCTCACTGCGTCTGTAATTCGTTAAGTTGTTTTTGCAAGAAACACAACTTAACTTCTGCTTTCACAAAGTTCGTAATTTTCTGACAACTGTCATATGCCCTACACTTGTGTTACTGTGGTTTACGTTGTGTTTTGTCAGACTATAATTAAAGTTGCTTCTAATTGATTTTGCACAGCTTTTTCCCATACAAGTTGGAATCTGCTAGAACAGTAGTGTCACTGTTGCTTCACTGCATTTTTCAAAATGTTGACCTTTTTTCACGGATGTTCGGAGCATCAGCTGTTCTTTGTACTTGAAGGATGATGGTATAGCGTGTGAACTACACACAGTGCCAGCATGTGTACACACAGTTGGTCTCATTTCCTGATTCTCCGGTCAGACGCTGGTTTCTCTTTTGAGAGCCGAGCCCACAGTGACATCAGCTTCCGCAAACACACAAGGCATCACCATGGCATCGCACAAAGACATTTCTGGCCTAAAGGGAGGGAGAGCAGCATCATGCATTACACATTTGTAGGAGAGATCTGAGTTCCGCACCCCTCTTCTCTTGTACCCTCTTCCTTTCACTTTTTTTTCTCAATTGCTGTTTGTTCTGCCGCCTGCTGTGGTAAACAGCACAGCCGGCCCATCAAAGAGCTCCTCTCATTTCCCATAGCCTGCTCTGCTCTCCATTATAAATTGTAGCTTCATTATGTCCATCTACTCTTCCATTAAAAGTTACCATTATCCATTAAGTCCTTTTGAACACTGTCTGGGCAAACTCACATTTTAGTCTGCCTTCCTCAGTTTCTATCTTGATGTGTTGTGCAGTCAAGAGGAGCCGTGACAAAAAAGACAAAAGACCAAATGAAGAAGTGACCACCCGCAAGGCTCTGTCAAACGGTTTGGTCTAATAGACAGAATTACTGCGTGTGATAAAGAGGAAGAATATAGTGTGTTGTGGGATGCATCTTTTGCTGAAAAACTATTACAAAACAAAGTACTTTTGTTTTCTCAAATACTAATGAGAAATGAATAATATTTTCACATGGTAAAACCATCCCCAACTTTTTGTATGTTTAAAAGAAGTTTGGAAATTATCCAAATTTAGAAACTACGAAAGGTCTTTGATGAATGCAGCATTACGACAGCTCTGCAAGAAGACCGTGTTGTGTGTGGTTTGATGTCTGTTAATTTTATTTGTGCTGATGCTTTTGCTGAAGCTGGAGTTCATGGAGAGAACCCATGCTTACACACGGAAAAACATGCAAACTCCATACAGAAAACCCCCACTTACTGGAAGGCAACAGCGCCACTGTGCAGCTAGGCTCTTTGACTCCATATTTGAAATGCACTGGGGGTAGAAAAATGTCTTTGTCGCCTCCTGGCTTGATTATAGTAATGTGCTGTATTTCTGGGTCAGGCAGGCTGCTCTCTCTTGCCTTCAGCTCGTCCAAAATGCGGCGGCTTCTCTATTGACGTGATCACACAGGAAAGAACAAATCATTCCTGTGCTGGTTCCTCTTCACTAGCTCACTGTGTGCTACATAACTAATTTTTAAAAAATGGCTTTATAATTAAATTGGATTGAATTTAAAATGCAGTTACACGTTACATTGCTTAAGAAACAGAGCTATTTCCAGCATTAGCAAAAAGGGAAACCTACAATTCACTCTGCTTCGGTGGAAACTTGAGACAGAACTAAGTTAACAGGAATAACTTATTAAATATGATTTTGGTCAAAGTGTGAAAACCTGGACTTGATAGATTAGATTTGGAATCTGTTGTTTTCTGCAATTCTAGTCTATGCTTGAAACTCATTTTGAGGTAAGAAAGGAAGCAGCACTTAGGTTGATGGAGATGGCTAATAAATACTGTCATCTCCTTGACAGCACTCATTTACATAAAAAACAGTAATGAAGCATTTCCAATTCTTAAATTGTTTAGCAGGATTTTGCATATGGAATAGAAAACAAAACAGAAAACAGAAAAGATAAATGGCAAGCACGCCTCAAATGGGTAACTCTTGAAATGGCGATTTTTTTCTAAATATCAATTTCAAATATTTAGAGAGGACAGAATAGAACAGTTTTACACAAAATAATGATTATTTAAATCATTGATTGAAATCATTGATTGATCTGTGAATATAAGCACACACAAAATATTATTGTTGTTTCCAAAATCTCATCTAATTTTCAAGTATCCAATGTCAAGTGTCATCTTGTTTGACGAATAGGATGCACCATCTCTAATCATTCTTGTAGGTAACAAAGTTTCAACACCATAAGCACATTCAAAGGCATACACAGATTGCTTATCTATACATTGCACAAAACTCGTATTTCAATATCTTTGTTATTACCTTAAGTACTTTTGAGCAGAATAATTTCTTCCAGAAATCTGGTGTGACAAAGTCATTGATCAGCTTCTTTGAAACTGCTGACAGCATCCGCCTGCAGTTTCTCTTGAAGCTAAAAATATGCTTGTAAGCTTGGTTTCCACTGTTCCCGCTTCACCTTATCTTGATGTCTCTCTCTTCTTCTGCCACATAATGACTTTGCTTCCTGTTTCCAAAATTGGAATAATGATCTCATCCCACATTATCATTTGCACACATTTGCATTTTATTACATCAAACTTCTTACATCAGCTAAATATGTAAAGGCTTGTTCAAATGAGAGCATCACAGTGAAAAACCTGCATTTGAAAAAAAATAAAATAAGATGCTTTGTGACACAGTAATCCTGCTTAACATGTTAAGTGATATGAAGCATTTTTAAAGCTTTAAAGTTGAAAAATGAGCCTCAAGATGTGATTGCTAAGTGTGGGGTTATATAAAGAAAACACATTGATCTGAATGTTTTGACTTGAACAGTAACATAAGTGCACATTGTAAATATTAAAAGCCTCAACATATTGTCTGTTTCATATGAGATCTGACTGTTCATCACTGGAAACATGCAATATGTGTTTCTGCCAGGGCAGAAGTGGCTGATTGCTGTATGTTTTGTTCAACAAGTTACCATAACTGCTCTGCTGCACTGCTTGCCTTCCTCCAACTACATGGCACTTATCCCCTATCATCTTTTGTTCATTTGGATAAGGTGACACATTTTAAGCAAGCTTAAAAGCACCCAGAAAGGTAGAGTCTCCTTCCATGGAAATGTTGGCCATGGACCGGGGGATCAAAAGCTCCAAGTAGTCTCCCTTCTCCAGCTTTACAATACCTGCAGGATTCAGATGTCTACTTCAGTCAGGTTGCATAAAGTAAATCACAATTATAATGTAACTTAAGTTAAAGACACTGTACTTTATCTCTTTAATGAGTTGCTATTAGTGGACATAGTACATGGCACAAGCTCACCTCCAGTGTAGCAAGTGTTGAAAGAGTAATCAGGGTTCATGCTTTGGATGCAGCGGAACAAATGCACATCCTGATCCTCATTTCCCACAACATGCCTCTTCCATCGTATCACCACGTGCCCCATTGTAAAGGTGCTGTCCATGTAGTAGACCTGCACAGACCAACGAATATATTGGTAATGTCCACTGTAAAAGTTTTTAAACAGGCAGGAAAACAAAAATGTTCTAATTTGTCTAACCCTTCCTCAAAATGTGTAATTAAACACAGCATTTAGTCAAAGAGAGCACACCCTTTTTGAAGCATCGCGTGTAAAGGAAAATAAAGCTATGGTTTTGCAAATAGAGTAGCAGCAGCCCCCAGTGGACAAATTAAGAAACTGCAGTACTCGAGCCCACCTGACTGTAGACGAAGTAGAAACCAGCCTCGTTGACTACAATGCGATCTCCATCTGTCTCCAAGGATGAACCTCTCCTCAGCCCAGTTTGCCAGGGGATACCTGTGTACGGACCCGAGGAAAGTTCTGGTAAAAGACAGAGCATCTTGTTAGAAAAGATGCAAAAAAAAAAGAAAAAAAAAACACCAACAGCTGAGATGCAAACATGTTTTCTGTAGGTTTTAATCTGGAACATTTATCTGCATGTTTATTTCCAAAGTAGAAGAAACATAATTAAAAGCAAAACAGGAAACAGTGTACCTTTCCTGAAGGGTTTTCTGCTGTTGTTTGCCAAAAGCTGCAGGCAGGAGACAGAACCTGGCAGAAAATGCAGGAAAATTGTATTAAAATGACACTAGATAACTGTGAAATATACTTGTGGAGTTGCATTGACGCTACTACAGTAAAATCATGTCACCAGTACACAACAATTTAAAAATCATTTGTTGTTTTTTTTAACTTGATGGCAATTTGATTTTTTTTTTTTTTTTTTTACTGTGACTCCAGTTATGGAAAAAATGTATCAAGCAAATCACTACCAGATATTTTACTGTCTGGACAAGAAGCCATTTTTCATTTTAACAAAATCCCCTTTAAAACACTGAAACTCCAAATGATTCTTATATGTTGGGAGATATTTTGTGATATGAAAATGTATCTAATGCAAATACCAACACAACTTGCCCAATTCTGTGTCTGTTTTTTTTTTTATTTTATTTCACTCCATGGTTTCCCACAGCCCCTATGCACCTTCAGGATGGGAGAGTTTTAGGAAATATGCAAAATGCAGCTTTTTTCTAACAGCCATTTTATAATCAACTGAAGATGAGTGTTTGGATCTGCATCACAACTACAACAAATTGAACTCCATGCTATTGAAATGCGAGACAGGGTTCCCTTCAAAGGTTTACGAAGAGATCTGCAAACCCTCTGTGCTTTATGTGCTATAACAGTTGTAATTGTTCGAGGAAGGCTTTCCAGAAGGTTTAGAATTGTGATTACGGGACATTCTGAACATTTTTCCAAAATAAATGTGGTAAAAGACTAATGTTAGATGGGAAGACTTGTCTCAGTGGTTCCAGTGGTTTCAGGTCCTTGCAAGTCTGGTCAAGTTCTTACACAACAAACGAGCTAATTCATGGTTTTAGTGGCCTTGTTTTGTGTTCCTCTAGAGTAGACAGTCATGTCAAAAATAAGCAAACAGACTCCTTCCTCTCTGTAGGCCCCACAGCCTTAGAAACATGGCACTATCCAAATATATCAGTATGCAGAACAACTAAGAGCTCATTTCACTGGAAGAGGAGAATCCTAGCTCCTGAAGAACATCCCACATCCACTGTGGATCAGAAATGTGGTGTAAAATCAAAAATTACACTTCACACAATGCAGACATACAAGTATTGTTCTCCCGGCAATTGCTGGTGACTTATGTGCACCATGCCTCAGTATCCACTGAGCCCTAAACATTTTGTGGCTATGTTACAATTGTCACTTCCACTTTGTTATAATACTGCTGTTGCAGTACTAACAGTGACTAAATTTCTTGACCCTGTTCCTGAGCATGACCCATTCTCATAATTGTTAGTCATTCTTCGATCATTAAAGTGATAAGAATTTATAAATTAAATTAAACAAATGAGCAAATACATTTGGCAACACAGTGTAAACTACATCAACATAAAAGCCACTGTTCAGCACAGGACCCCGGTCATTACTGTGTGTTATGTTATGTGCAAATAGTAAGTATTTTATCCCAACATAAAATTGTAGTTAAAAATGTTCCTGTATTTAAAACGATGAGAGCTGCTTACAAATGAAATCACAATTTTTTTGCAAAATTATGTGTTCAGAAAATATTTCAGACTGCCAAAAAAATTACACAATTCTGAAGCCAAAAGTACCCTTTTCTCTTTCCAGGTCAAATAAGCTGGCAAATGTAAATTTGTTATATTTGTTGCTTATTCTTTCATTATTTCCAACACAACTTTGCCAAGCCTGTGAAATGCTCAGAAATAAAACTGAAGTGTAGTAGAATATAACCAATTATAAACATACAAATTTTGCTCTTATGATCAAGTGATAACTCTTCTTGCTCTTGAAGTGTGCTAAAATAAATGTGCACATATGTATGATAGTTTCTGGCGAGCTTGAATGTCACACATTACATCAAGTATCAAATGTTTTTCTGTTTTACCTGCGATCTCTGATCCAGATGTTGTTCTCCTCCTTCTTATTTGACTGAAAGCTTTTTGAGACTCTGGTAAATCCCAAAGCTCTTTGATATTTTCTCTTCCTTTGTTGTTTTCAGTCTGTATGTACACGATTATAATTTTTAGAAACACTGTGAAATAGAACAGTTGAATGTTAGTTGAAATCCCTACTGACCGTTACTTACCTGATCTCTGCGGGTGACCTTTTGGCCCTCTTCTCTCATGCGGCTGATGTCTGTCTTAAGCCTCTCTACTTCAGCTCGCAGATCCACTAACTGGTACAATGAGAGAGCTGACAAAGAAGACGAGGTGACAGCAGCCAGTGTCAGCAGAAAAACGGGCCAAGATGCCCTTCCTTCAGACGCAACTTGTCCAGTTCCGTGCTTCACATCTGCTAAAACTGCCATCGCTGTGGAAGTTTAAACCCCCAGACAGTTCACACTAGCGGCATGACCGTTTTTACTCCTAAACTATTTCTCTTCTTACAGACTTAGATTACAAACGACGAATGTTCTCTTCTCTAATTATGTTTTTTCAGGAGCTGCAAGCTAACGGAGCCTGGATTCGTTCAGTCCCGACTTTCTTAACTCTCGTTTTCTTTCGGTGGCTGGATCCTGATTAGTCTGAGAGATTACGCAGTACAAATCAGCTTCCTCCTCCGAGGTTCCGCAGAAGAAACCACACCAACAGCTTCCTGCCTGACCAGCAGAATGCCAAATCTCTTTAACTGTTTTGCTTTCATTACCAAACACATCCTTTCTTTCCCAATCCTAACAATGAACTCATGGCAACATATATGAAGGACGGTTGATATGAACACAGCTCGTCTGTGATCTGCACGGAGGGATTTCAAGCTAATAAACACTTGAGCCCACATTATAAATGACTATAATTGTCAGACTGAAATGAGGAAGTGCAAATCTTGCTTCATCTTCAAATGGCCCCATAACACAACTAAACAAACTTTAATTCCGAGAATTAAAATGTGAAGTGGAGACAAGTTACACCAGTAGCCTTTTATTTCTTCAAACTTATTATTTTTTTGTACTTCAGTTTCCAACAATAAAGTTCCATGTAAATGTTTTATTTTTACAGTTTTCAGTGGCAGAGGTAATGGTATATGAAATGAAAAACAAATATATTTTAATGCAACAATTGACTCACTTCTGCTTACCAAAACATTGCAAAATTTCTGTAAATTTGCTAAATTTAATATAAATCTGTTTAATTTAAATAAATATGTATATGGTATTTATTGAGATCTGATAAAGACACTATGCAACAAAGCACAGAGGCTATATGAAAGAGATTAAGTCAAACTCAGATTAAGCTAAGAAAATTTATAGCCACATTTTCCTGCAAGACTTTACAGTCACTAAATCATGACTGTGTAACAAAGTGTTTTTTTGGACTGCAAATTAAAGAAAAAATACTGAAAAAAACATGTTTTTGTCCTATGTAACAACTGAACACATTGTGAAAAATACCACCAGTGAGTTGCTACTCAGTTATTTGAAATATGTATAAGGCTTTTTCAAAGTTCTTTGGTGAGCAACATTTTCAAATATTCAGGGTTGCAGATATAACCTGAGAAAAAACAGATTTGGCAATCCAACAAAACAGAACACAATTAATTTAGCTACAGAAAAGATTTTTTTCCGCTTTTTAGCATTTTAACAGTTTTACCCTCCTCCATCCATGAAAAGCAGATTTCTTGCTCTTTCTACAAACTTGTCACTTGTACGCAGGTCCTCTATGGTTGCCATGGTCCTATTGGTGGTTATCAAATTTCTATCTGGGTGACCTTTAAAGGTCACTATTTGCACTAGATTTTTCTTTTGAATGTTGAATAGTAGTACACACCATACTTTTTGCTTTTGATAATTAGAGACCATATGTCATTTCATTTCACTTTATATCTTTGTGTGTTTCTCTCACATAAAATCTCAATAAAATACTTTGATGTTTGGGGTAATAATGTAACAAAGGGTTAAATAACTGACAGAGCGCTGTTCAGTCTCACCCAAAAACGAAGAGTGTCATGAGTTGGGTAAGTAGCGTGAGTATCGTGAAATTGATGGGGTGTGTTTGTGGTTCTTAGAAACAGCTTTGTGCTTCTCACACTGCATAAATCTCTGTCAGTAGTTTTTCTTTCTGCACAGAATACACGTAGCCTCATGCGGGTTGGCAGCAGAAGTGAACCAATGGGGAAAACGAACTGGCGATAAATTTGCACTTACCCGTGATGGACGCAAAGCTTACTAGCTGCCTCACAAGAGCATGTTGGAAACTAGTTAGCTTCGAGACAGAATGCCGTGAAGATGTCCGCCCACAACTAAAGTTTTGGCTGACGGAGAAGTCCTGCGAGAAAAAATAAAGACTACATATATAAGAATACACATTATTAAATCGGCCTGCCACAACAAAACTAAAGGCCTATAGCAAACTGAAGAGTTGTATTGCAATGTAGGCAGTGCCCTTGTATTTTCTTGCCTTTAAAATACATTTGAACCTTTTGGTCTTCATAAATGCTGTTCATGACAGAACATAAGGTAAATAGTAGCAGCAATATGCTCTACAGTGCCATGTGAAATCATTCATATCCTTTAAAGATTTTCCAAAGTATTTCATTAGGATATTCTGATAGGCCAACATCAAGTAACCTTTTACCAACCACAGTCACGCATGGTGGTGGCAGCATTATGCTTTAGGAAAGTTTTTCTTCTGCTGAGACAAGAAAGCTGGTTGGGCTGTTGGTACAATAAATATAGCTAAATTTAGGACAATCCCTGAAGAAATAAACGTGCATCAAAACACCATTTTACTGTATCAATTTATTGCATGTAACAATACAGAAAATAGAAAGTGAAAATGTGTGCTTACAAAAGAAGTTGAAAGAAATAGAAAAGATACATAACTCTGAAATGGAAAGTCAGTCAAAGCGACTGCTTTGTTCCAATGATAAAAACAGCTCATTCACATGTGTCATCAATGGTTCTTTAAAGTGAAGTCATGGTTCAAAATAAAGATGCGTGTACACAAAGTATTTCAACACTGTGCATGTTCATTCAAGAAGCTTGCCAAGACGAAATGTAAACACATGCCAGCTTGCAACATCAACACTTAGAATCTCAAATCATGTCAACATTTCCAACAGCAATCACTCTGATCTGTTCACAGCCAGAACATAGAAAAATATCACTCAAAGTAGCTTTGCACACCTAACATTTTTCTAAGAGAAAAAAAAAATCAAGACATTCAATTTTATTATATATCATGTGTTAAAGAAACCCATATTTTGTGACAATCTAAATTAAGTGTTATACTCGTCAAAATAGGTTTAAACTAGAAGGTGAAACAACAAATGGATGAAAGGCAAATATCTTCATGAGTGCAGATATTCAATTAACAGCAAAAATATCTGAAACAAAGCTGGTGGAGGAAATAAAAGTTTATGTTCTCAAAGCTAAACGTAGATTGCACAAAATCAGCATGTGGATTTGATGTCATACAAAAATTGTCTGAAACTGTTTAGTGCAACCAGTGGTAAGAAATCACAGAAGTCGGAGGAAGGACGATCATTACACAATCTTTTTTTTTTTACGGTGCATTTTAGTTAAAGACCACGCTTACATTCCTAGTGGCCGCAGACCATTTTCAAGTTGTAGTTACATTGACAGACACCAGTTGGGTCTTTTCACTGCTTTTTCTTTTCTTTTTTAAAATCTAATATGGCTGAGACCTACTGAATATATTCAAATGGCTTTCAAACCACTGCAGTGCAGTGTGCTGCATTCAGAAAGAAAAAGTGGATAATAGGATTTTAATCTTCAGGTTTTAGGCCCATCCTGTGGAAGTCATGCAGGAAAGGTTAATTAGCTCATTAAAAGCCCTCCCTAAGAGAGAAAAGGCATTTTGTCATATAAGCACAGGGAGACAGGATCCTTCAATTAACAATTAAAATGCAAAGGATAATAGCTCATAATCACATTTGACTAAAAACGCTCACAGTTTATTCCCAGTGCTTAAGGGGCTAACAGATTCCGCCCGACTGTAATGCAACACACACATCAGCATACATTGTATGCTTTAAAGGGGAATAAACAAGCACTGGCCAATAACTGGAAATCCCCAGTTGAACTGGCCGGTGCATAAAACATGTAGGACAAACTGAAACTAACATGTGCCTTTGGAGTTAACAAAAAATGTTGTTTTTAAGATTCATTACAGTTCACCAATAATCTACAATGTTTTCTTGCTACTTGGCAGTTTGTTTCCTTCCTTCTCATTATTAATGACTCATTCATTCGCATTACCACTGCTTGGAAATAATACTGGAAATTTTGTCCTGAATTATCGCTAATAGATTTACTTAAGTGACCTAATTGCCACGTGAGCCAAGCTGATTACCATAGTAACCAATTTTCTGAGTATTGCCCCTTTGCACTAAGCATATCAATATAGTAGCTGCTTAGTAATGCCTAAAACTTATTTTGTGAGTTGCTCTTTTGCAACATGTGCAAGTGAATCTTGATACATTTTTAATATTTTCAGGATATTTATTTCAGTAATTCAACTAAAAAAAGTTTAACTTGTTTATAGATTAATTAAAACTGAGTGATATCATTGAATAGTTATGGCTTAGAACAATTAAAATCCCAAATTTAAATCTCAGAAATATGCTAAACTCCATACGAGCAAGGAAGGAAAAATTTTTCATAAAGTGAGGAACACATCTCAAGTCAGGGTCCCCAGAGGTGCCACACAGATGTATCCGAGACCTGTGTTACAAGTCCTTTATTGATTGTGTTAAGTCACTTCTAAACCAGATAATGCCAGAAGCACCTTACCTGGCCTGGTTTTCAGATGAATAAAGATCCAAAGACCTTTTCCCACAGAAAAAACATTAATTTTGCATTTCATTTCAAAATGATCAGTCAGGATGAATTTTGGAAAAGTACAGAATCCAAGTTGCTAGAGGTTCAGTGTTAAGTTTCCACAATTGCTGATGGTTTATGGGGCCATGCCATCTGCTGGGTGTTGTCTAACTGGAACTTTTAGAGCACTGTGAGCACACACACAGCGCACAAGAATCTGCATCTCTTCATGGAGATACTGATTCCTAGCATTTTTTATTGAACTTTCTGTAACCTTTTATTCTTTTTATTATGTAAAGAAAGTCAATTTTAAAGTTTCAATTATGTGTAAGCCTTAAGCATCTAAATTAACATAAACACCATTAAAATAATTATTGACAAATGATATGCATGAGTATTACTTTTCATTTCAATTCCAGAAATAACCATACTTTTTGACAGGATGCTCACTCATTCAGATGGATCTGCATTTTGAAAGTGCCTAATTCTTGAGAAAGCAGCAACTTCCTATCTCTAACAAGTAGTATCATAGCGATTCGCCTTATATGTCTCACCATTTCTTCTGTGTGAGCCAATGATAAACATGCAGCAGCTTCTCTTTATGTTAATGTGGAAGGCCAAATTTGAAGGTGCATATAAATATTTATGTGAGAACGTTGTGAAATGCCAAACTGTTGCATGTACATGGCACTAAGGGGAATGGGGACACATTGCTATATTCCTCAATGTACTCCTTAGAAACTGTAAGCACCCACACAAAGAAAGATTTGGTTAAATCTGAACTGAAAAGTTCTGTGTATTAACAAATATATTTACAGTATACCTCTACACACCACTCTAATTTACAAAATTAGACACAGATGTGTCAATTGTGTCTTGATCAATTTTCACATGAACGCCACAGGACCTTTTATGGTCAAACTTCTTTTAAAACTAGATCAGTAGATTTCTCGTAATCTAAAAAAAAAAACACTATCAGATTTCTCAGTGGTTTCAGCACATCTTGTGATGTTAGCAACTATGCTCTGGCTTTGTTCATAGAAAGGTCATAGACACATCCATTCATATTTGAAGCACAAGGAAACCCAGGGAGATATTACAATCTCCTCAACCCTTGAAATAGTGAAAATATTTTAGCATATCAAATTTAAAGAAAAGTAGAAAGAGTGAAATGAAAACAAAAACCCAAATAAAAGCATAAAATGTACATTCACTCCAAAAATCAATGAAGTTTCTTAAACTCTTCACCCTCTAACCCTCCATCAGATGATGGTGACGCTGGCTGAGGCCTGAGCACTCTCCTCGTGGGCGTGGCTCTTCAGCAGGTCTTTCATGAACTGCTCCAAAGCAGCAAAGTAGCCCTGACACTGCCACGTGTCGTTGTGCGTGCCCTCTGGAAAGATAGCCAGCCGCTTAGTCCGTGCAAGGGACAGCTCATACAGTTGTTTCATCATAACCGGTGGGATGAGTTGGTCCGACAGACCCGAAACAAACAGCGAAGGCATGCGGCACAGCGCCACCTGTCTATACGACAGGAACTTATTCTTATAGCACCAGAAGGGCAGCAGGCGCATTGGCAAGAACGAGAAGAGAGTTGCAGCCATGTGAGGGATGCTGAGAAAGGTGTTTTCAACGATGATGGCCGCTATGCGGTGAGGGTTTACTGATGCAAGACGCACAGCTACAGCGCCTCCTAATGAGCGACCAAAGAGTACCACTTTTGTTTTGTCCAGGTCGGGGCGTGTCATGACATAGTCCAAGGTTGCTTCAGCATCGAGGTACAGCCCGTCTTCACATGGCTCTCCCTCGCTTTTTCCATAGCCACGGTAATCCATCAGCACCACATTTGCTTTCAGATTGATCAGCATTAGAAGTGCGTTTGACACTCTGTGACCAATATTACCTGCATTGCCATGGAAATAAAGGATTGTAGGAGGAGCAGAAGAAGTGGGGCTGCTCTGATTGTTGGATGTGGTGCCAGAAGCAGAATCTCCTTCTGTGTAACGAAGAAGGATGAGGTTGAGCTTCACACCGTCCTTGGTGCGAATATACACATTCTCATGCACGATTCCTGCTGGTATGGGAACATACAGGCGAGAGGAGGAAGGCTGTTCAGGAAAGTAGAGAAGAACATCCTGAAATTTGTAGAGAATGCCGACTACAGATGCGAAGATGAGAGCGAAGAGGAAAAAACCTCCATACAGGTGGAAAGTGAGGATGAGAGCCAAAAGGAAAACTCGGCAGGCACCCCAGGCCCAGGATACTAGAGTCAGGGTGCACTGCCCCATCGCCCCACACAGTCTCCAGGGCTTCTCCATGGCTGCACAAGAGGTGGGTCAGAAAATACACAATCTGAAAATAGAGTCAGAAGAGGGCAAAACAATTGTTGAAATCTGTAAAGACCAAAAATGCAAAAATCACACAATTTCTCTTACTAAAAATATTGCATATGACATAGTAGGCATGCAATGCATGTGATTATTAATTTTGGTAAGATAAAAAAAAAAACAAAAAAACATAAAGCTATGTTATGTTTAATATTTTCTCAAAAATATTAAATATAATTTTTACATCAGAATCACACTCAAAAATACTAAACCTTTAAAACTTACAATCTTAAAAGAGTAAAATAAGAGCTGCATAATGTGTCATGGCAAGAACAAGCAGTATCTGGTATTGTGAAGAAAAAGGACTGGGAAACATAAAATGTGAGTTACGCATAATCAATATTGTCATTGCACATGGTGTTGTGCAGCCCAAAATAACATGCACAGGAATTAGGTCAATTTAATAACCTCAGAAAAGAAACCTAGAAGCTTATCAAACTGAAATTTAATCAAATATGAAAGAAATGGGCACATAAAAATAAAATCAGGGAGTCATAATAAAACAAAAACAAGAAAAACCAAAGTGCACATTTAGTATAATGTCGTCACAAACATAGAGGACTAATGGATTATGTTAAATCTACACCTGTCTTGGTGTAATATGTTCAAATGTATGCCGATCTATAAGGTAGAAACAAACATAACATACAATAAATAACATGGTGATAAAATACTTATTGGATTGGAAAATTTAACAGAGCAAACTACATTTTCTTATCAGTTATCTCATTCAGGAGAGTCCTTGTATGAGATAACTGTTTTAATAAAAATATATAAAAAAGATGTCACTTAAGCAACTTAAAACTGGGCCATTTTGATAAAATATAAAATCAGCATTCAGAGACATAAGAACGATACAAGAACGAAAAATGACCGAGCCTCACCCACGATGAAGAAATGGTACTAGCTACTGTCAACCTGGGAAACCGTGATTAAGGCTTACTGCGGTTGGATGTCTTCAGAGGTAGCTGTGCCGCTATGGACATAACGTAAAACGGCAACGGAAGTCATAGTAAGTCGTGTTTCTGGTCTTTCACAAGAAACTCCCAGATCGATAAGTCAGACAGTTCCAGTAAATGTGAACTAAACCCCATCGGAAATGTGACCATAAGTGCAGACGAGTTAGCTGAGTACCAAGAATGCTAACCACTATCTTTGGCTGCCACTAGCTGTTAGCACGGCTGGATGTAGCTTCTGAAGCTAGCCACCTTGCTGTCATTAAAGGGTGGACTAAGTCGCCAGCTACTCACCCTTCTCTCATTTTTGGCGTCTCAGTTGGATGGGTTGATTACAAAATAACGACACGACGGCGTAGTGACTGTCATTCACCTTTAGATAGGTTCACGAGTTTATAATTAACGCGGAAAGACAACTGAATGACACCTACTACCGGTAGAGATAGCTATGTAGGTTAGCATTGCTGGCGCAACCCATATTCAGTTCCGTGTATGAAACTCAGTCTGTAAAGAAGTTCCGGAAAATATGTGCTCGATTTACATTTAGAAATGCATTATTTGCGCAATTGCAGATCACAACCTTGACAAAAACTCATATAACACAATACTAAAAGGTGGAGTTTAGAAAAATGTTGAAGAAATAAAAGTATGCTATTAACAATATGAGAAACACAGACAAGTCGTCTGTGCTTCTCAAACTTTATCCACCAGATGTCGCTCTTGGAGCGAATATGAATTTCGAAATTTCTATCTCTGTCTGCCCATCAGCTTACACTCAAAAGGAATATTGTTACGATTCGTTTTGATTGTATATTTTCCATTGTATGTGTTCTACATATTCTTTGTACAAATCTTTCACAGATCGTTTTCCTAGATAGCCATAATTATACCTGCATAGTTTGTTTAGGATACACATCCATTCATAATTTATTCACACTTGTACAGTTATATTTTGTCAGTGCTGCACATTTTTCACGTTTCAGTTGCCATTACTTTTTCAATTGTCTGTATTCCGTGTGTTTCCCTTTACATGTTGCTGAAGACACAATTAAAAATAAATCTATTCTGTTGTATTCTTGTCTGAAGAGTACATCGTATTTACAAATGCAAATATGACAAAAACAGCCAGGGCAGGTTTATTGACGTTTTTCCCACTTCTCAGGCTTCTCCTTGGTTTTGTTTTGATTTACATCTCCACACAATGTGTGACCTTGAAGTTGTCAGACTGATTTCATAAATTAGCACAGCTGTTGGCTAATCAGCCAAGTTTTGTTGATTTAATTCTACAGTGACACAGACAACATTGTAACCATGGGTAGGCCATACAGTAGCAGCTCCATCAGCCAAAATAACAACAAACTTTATATGTAGTTATCATTTTGAAGTTTCTGGCTTGTGCACTCACATCTGGGAAGGGAAATGTAAACACAAGAAAGCAACCAATGAGTCACTAACTGCAAGTGATATTTTTAGATATTTCTTGAAGTGTAGTCACACATATGACACAGTGGATTATATACTATATACAGAGTAACAACACTGACTGGTCACCATTTTACAATTCCTAGTTCATCAAATACATTTTGAATTTGATGCCTGCAATATGTTCTGGGGAGGATGCGGTAAGTTTTGTCACTTTGTGAACAACTATGTGAGGAAATAGTCCAAAAGTTTAAAAACTTCTATCCCTCAGGAGTCACTGCAATGTCACCAATTTCAGTGAACATTGCTACATCTACAAGTGCAAGTCAGAATTCCTCGATGCAAAGTGAACGCCATCAATCAACAACATACAGAAATGCTTTCTCTTGTGGTCTGACAGGTCCACATAAAAAAAAACATCTTCATAGGTGCCTTGTTCTGCAGGCCAAAGAGGAGAAGGGCTGTCCAGACTGTCTTATCTGGACAGTGACTGTACAGGATTGTGTTAGTGCCCACCGCTGGAAGTAGGCAAGAAATCTACTGTGCTCATAAAGAGATGGAGATGCTTTCAGTTGTTATTCCAAATACCTTGCTTGTAACAAGTGGTTAACTGAATTACGACTGAACTAGTTTCTGTCTATTCCCCTCTGATCTTTGCTATCTACCGAACACTTTTGTCCACACAACTGCTGCTCACTGGGCCTTTTCTCTTTGTTTTCATTTTTTCATTCCCTGTAAATTCAAGAGATGACTGAGTGTGAAAATTCCAGATCAGCTGTTTTTATAGGTAGTCAGATCTGCCAGTCTGGCACGAACAACCAATGCTGCATTCAAAAGTCACATCAATACCATTCATTTCCCTTTCAGATGCTTGGTTTTAAGCTTCACCAAATTGTCTTTATCATATGTTGCTGTGATTAGCTGATTCCCCAATTGAGGTAACAAGCACTGGAACAGGGATACCTAAAAAAGTTCCTGGTTCGTTTAAAAACTACACACTATTACTATGTGCTATTAAAAATGCGTTAAGCTAGAAAATATTTATTTTTAGAAAATATTTGCAGCTCCCACATTTCTTCTAATTCTTAAAAAAAAAAGTAACTTTAATTTTATTTGATGGTATGTCTACCCTCTTTGCTCTGCCTGTACATCACTGTTGCAATTAGAATAACTTATCTTGGAAACACAGGATTAAGAGCTAAAAGTGAAGAACTAGGGTAAAATGCAATTTAACCTTACTTTGCCATTTTGGAATGAAAACATATTTGCTATTTAGATTTGAAGTTAAATACAAAAATCTGCTTTTGAGCTATAGTATCATTTTGTAGCCAGTGGCCTTGCACAGTAAGAATTTTTTTTTTTTACTCATATAAATGAGTAAAGGGAAACACACGGAATACAGACAAACTGTGTAGTGCAACATGTTCCACACATACGCGTACTCATACTTGTCTCTTTGAATTATAGGCTGTACTGCATTCTGATGGATTTGGTTTATAAGAGACTGACAGCTAGCAACTTCACTCTTTCTTACCTATAACTCAATTACCTTTGACATGGCAGTCAAAACATCTATTATGCACACACGCACACACCAACAATCTTCCACACAACCCCTTTCTGTGACTTCATTCCAGATCCCATGGCTCAATTACTTGAAATATAGCACCAAACAGCTGGAGGGCTTTAGCTCAATAAAACAGCGTCAGCGCAGCTATATGATGAGGAGTCATTGTGATGACCTGGCAGGGAATATGCTACCACCAGGCTGACGGAAATACTTATCATTCACCTCACAGCGTGCTACCAGTGGCCACCTGGGGACGAAGTAGACGTTCCAAAAGGCAACCATGTTTCCGTTTGATTATGTTAAAGGTTGAAACTGAGCTACTGCTGGAGCGCCGATGTTTCAGTTTGTCACAAGTATTTTATGACTGATGCAGTGATCTGAGTCAGAAAGGACGGGTACGCTGTGGCAACTTACTTCCTCTGCTATAGCAGAGGAAGTAAATGTTTATTAAAGGCTACATTTCCCCCATTTCCCTTGCAGAAAACCTTCTGTTGCATCTATGATGATATCTATCACTTTAATTGGCCATTCTTTGTTTTACGTCTTCATATGTTTATTCTGCATGAAAAATAACAATCATCTTGTGATATCCAGGATAATTACATGGGAACTGGGCACACTAATTGTATCAGACTGTAACATGAGGCCTTTGTGTGCACTTTTTATCCTTTCCTGCCAGTAATCAAAAACAACTGCTCATTTAATGGCTGTAAATTTGGCAGAAAGCTTTTGTAAGGAGTCATTTTATCTAACTTTGCATAAAGATTGAAAGCAAGATCAATTGCTACTTTGGCCCCATCTGAAGTTCAAACCTATGTGTGCTAAAACCTCTGAAGTTGTTAATAATTCTTTTGAACTCAAGCACCCAAACCTTTAAACTGTGGCATCTCTTCTAATTCCCTTGCTGTAAATATTTAATGCAATTAGTATGCTATATTTGTTGTTGCACACATATTTATATATTTTTTTTACTTTTATGCTATAGGATCAAGCAAACAATCAAGGACCATCAAACAGCCTACCTCACCAACCCTTTTAGCTCCTTCCAGCTATTTATATTCCCATTGCTGAAATGAGTATAGCTCAGAACATAAACCACAAACCAGGAAAGGTTACGCAGCTTTTATTAACAAAACACATAATGTACAAGATGGACAGCAAGTGCATCAAAATCAAATTCATAATAAGTAGCTCACATACTCGCTATTTTCGTACTTGGTATTACACAAGCGAGGTTCAGTTTCTCATGCTTAGATGCAGGTAAATTGCCTTTAGATACATAATCATATATCAGAAGTGTAAAGTGTCAATGAAACAATCAAGTTACATGTTTTAAAGTAAATCTTCTGCATAGGTAAGGTTAGATAGGATGCATAGTAATTAGGAATCCAACTTTGATGTTTTAATGGATATAGAATGCACATTCTTTATTTAAGAAGCACGGCCATAATTTAACACTTTAACAGAAGTTCAGCATCGACAGCTGTCATTGGAATTTGGTTGAAATCACATGCAAAGACTTTCAGAGTACTAAAGTTGTATTCTTTGAAAAATGCTGTCACATTCAAGTAAAATCAAAGGTTAAAAAAAACTCTGTGGTTGATATTTGGGCACAAAGGTTCACAAAGGAAATCCCTATCCACTCAAAGAGTAAATTCACTAAATTCAGAGGAAGCTTAGTCACTTTGTGAAGGTCAGTTAGACAATGTGTGGTTATTTGAGTTGTTTTGGTAGATCTCTTCTAACACTGCTGATTCCAGAGGACATGGAGAGTCTGGTCTCCAGTAGAAACACAGGGGTTGCGGTCCGGATTAAAGGTTACTGTTTCATCTGGTGAGGACTGAAAGGTCATCTTTCATTTCTCATTTCATAAGTATATGTGTTTGTGCTGAGGAGTGTGGGTTCCAATGTCTTGGTGTGTCGGTGTACAATCCATATACTGAATTTGAAAATGGGCTGAAAAGCCAAAACTGAGTACTCGTGTAAAATTAAAGATGCATCTGTAATGAAAGATAAATCCGCGTGTATTTCGAAAGTGACTCAGAAGACAGTGCACACTGCAGAATTGAGACATCATATGTGCTACAATTAGCCTAATTGGTTTTTGTCTCTGAATCTATTCTTTAACTCATAAAAGTAGTAGAAAGAAGTCATAATTTGTCAGTGTGTGTCAGCAAGACACACATGACTTGCTTGAAAAGCACAAATGGTGGCTGTCTGCTGGCATTTTTTAGTCACTCCAGCCTCATCAAATAGAAATTCACTTAATTATCTGAATCAGATCTTTAGTTTATGTCCATCAGATTTAAAGAAGCCACTCTCCAGTGGGAAATATTTCTTTGTAAGATGTAAACAACTCCTTTTTTTGTGGTTAATTTACTAAAAGATAAAACACTAAAGATGGGACACTCTACTGAACACCTCAAGCAACTGTTCTGCATTAACCAATTTTAGAATTAGGTTTTGAAGCA